GAAGGGCTTGCGGTGTGGCCATCCGCCCTGGGGGGTGATTGCTTGCTTTCTCTCTCTCTGTCTCTCTGTCTCTCTGGCTAGCGCACGTGCCCTATAGCAAAAACCTCTCCAAATAAATAAATAAATAAATAAATAAATACAGATTTCTGGACCCTATTTAATTAAATCAGCATCTCCTATTTTAAAGGACTCTCCAGTAGATTCTACAGTGCAGCCAGGGTTGCTTTTGCTTTGGGCTTTCAGGTTTAGCTAAAAGCTTGGAGCTCAACTGTCTGGAGCTCCAGGGTTTTTCTGGAAATTTGTCAGGCAAGGTACTGAGGATACTACTATGGGCATCCTGGTGAGAATATGCTCAAATGCTCCATTTTCCTAATTGCAGAGGGGAGGGCCTGAGGGCTGCAGAGCAGGCAGATGGCTGGAAGAACTCCCATGGAATTGTATCCCACCACACCATGAAGTGACAGAGCCAGGGAGGGCTGTGAAAATGGTGAGTACTTAGTGTGGTAACCTAGATCCGGACTTATTTTCACTGAGACTCCTGAGTTTCTTTGTACTTACTGTCTATATCGAGCTACGCTACGTGACATCTTATTCTCTAATTGTTCATGGCACGTTATTTATTGCTGGATTTTGACTGCATTGGGGAAGAGATGGTTAGTAAGTACTTTTCAATATTACGTCTCCTTCTAGGTTCCTAAGCAAAGAGCAGGGACTCGATCAAAACTTACTGACTGATCAACTCCTCCATAGTAGTTTCACTAGTCATCAGTTTTGATATGGTAGATTCCATAATAGCTTATACGGGCAGTGTCATGCTTTTTCAGCATTACTATCATTATTGGTCCTCTTTTTAATTTCTGATTTCATGGGAGTAATTTTATTCAAATAAAAGGCTAAATAATGATAATAATATAAAACTTTGTCCAATTTAGGATAATGCAAAGTAATTATAGTTACACATAGACACACACCATATGTATATAATTTTGTACTACATAAACCTATTTACAATATTGGGTTGTTGCAAAAGTCATGATGTATTTTTCTGTTTCTATGCAAAAATGCATCATGACTTTTTGGATGACCCAATACATCAAAAGGAAACACACTCTCTAAGGAGTATCTTCACGGTTTGGAGAAGATAAAAGATCTTGGCCAAAGATCTTATTAGCTTTGAAAACATCTCCTTTGCTAATGGAATATTAGGGAAGACCAGACTAGAAATGCTTTGGACTACATCAATCTACATGAGATAGAATAGTGTCTTTGACATTTAAATCATAACAGGCTATAAATTCTTAGTTCTCAAATCTGACTGCACAGAATTGTGTGGAAAGTTTTGAAAAAATACGAATGCTGAGTCCTACCCCTACAGGTTTGCAAGGTGATGTCAGGAATTTTTAACACTCCACAGGTTAATGACTTCCAAGAAAAGTGTAAGGAAACACGCATGGCTGTCTGCATGGACACAGGAGGACTAAATCTGGGTGAGTGTGGGGAAGAGAGCAAAAGCGAGCTGGGCAGGGGACTGTGGAAGATAAAAAAACACACAGAGAAACAGAAATTGCCTATTAAAAGCCAGCGCTTCTTGAAATACTAGTTAAAATATGCAAATTTTATGAACTAATTTACAGTTGAAATAAAAAGGGATAGGCCCTATGTCTTTAATGTGTAATTAAAAAAAATCGTAATGCTCCTGAACTCCCCCCATCATATTCATCTTCTACTGGACACTAACGGCCTAATTGAGAATTCTGGAATAGACTCTGCAAGCTGCATTCTTAGCAAGTTCATCTTACATATTCAGGGCCTAGGAAGGAAGACGGAAGTCACAAATATTCTACTAGAATGCTCAGTGGCTCTGTCATCTGTGGTGCCACCACCTGACCAGCAGTTTTTGATAAAAATGCAGAATGAGGGAAAATGGAAGAAGACTACTGGGTTCAAGGTCAGGGGGAGTACATTTTTCATTTATTTTTTTGATAAATTTTTTTTTTTTTTTTTTTTTTAAAAAATTTTTTTTTTTTTTTTTTTTTTTGCTATAGGGCATGTGCACTCACCAGAGAGACAGAGAAACAGAAAGCGAGAAATCACCCTCCAGGGAGCATGGCCACTGTGCAATCCCTTATTCTCCATTCTCCTCCTGGGATCTTGGGCACACTCTCACAGGCATGAGTTTGAAGCTGCCTAGTCCGGGACTCAGTCGGCCATGGGGGAGTCCAGCGACGTAACCATTACGCCGTCTGCTGGTCCCCAGAGGAGTAAATTTTAGCAAACAGAGCCTTGCTCTTCTGCATCTCAGTAAACACCTGTTACGGTACACTCTGTGGAACCCTCAGAGAGCCGGGTTCTGTTGCCTCCTCCAAATCCTTCTGGACTCATGTGGGTGAAACATGATGACATAGCTCTGAGCGTGTGGAAGCAACAGCCTATAAATACATATCGAATCTCAGCTTTCGGGTTTTGGCTAAAGCATTCAGTGGCTATTTTGAATCCTTCTCAAGTCACTAGACTGCATCCACACACCTCTGAGACCTTCTGTCTTAACACTGCTCAGAGCCCACACTCTCTTCTCCAGCACTACTTTCAAAAATTCCTCAAGAGCACAGATGCCCATGAAAATCTCCATGAAATTACATTTTTAAAAGGCTTTATGCCTGATTTCTTTTGGTTCTAGCCTGATATTTATAGCCAGAGAATTGGAGTGAAAATGAAGAATCCCCAGAACTTCAGTATAAAGCTGCCTAAATCTTAAAAGATGAGCCACCACTAAAGAAGACCTGAAGCTAGAACCAGCAGTTGACATAATGGCTATGTTGCTGGACTCTCATGTAGTTGACTGCAGTTTGAGTCCCAGACCTGGTGGGTTAAACTCACTCTGGGTGCATGTGTGTGTGTGCCTAAGATCCTGAGAGGAGAATGGAGGAGAAAGGATTGCGGTGTGGCCATCCCCTCAGGGGGGTGATTTCTTGCTTTCTGTCTCTCTGTCTCTCTCTGTCTTTTTGGTCAATGCATGTGCCCTATAGCAAAAATAAACAAACAAAAAACTCAGTGGCTATTTTGAATCCTTCTCAAGTCACTAGACTGCATCCACACACCTCTGAGACCTTCTGTCTTAACACTGCTCAGAGCCCACACTCTCTTCTCCAGCACTACTTTCAAAAATTCCTCAAGAGCACAGATGCCCATGAAAATCTCCATGAAATTACATTTTTAAAAGGCTTTATGCCTGATTTCTTTTGGTTCTAGCCTGATATTTATAGCCAGAGAATTGGAGTGAAAATGAAGAATCCCCAGAACTTCAGTATAAAGCTGCCTAAATCTTAAAAGATGAGCCACCACTAAAGAAGACCTGAAGCTAGAACCAGCAGTTGACATAATGGCTATGTTGCTGGACTCTCATGTAGTTGACTGCAGTTTGAGTCCCAGACCTGGTGGGTTAAACTCACTCTGGGTGCATGTGTGTGTGTGCCTAAGATCCTGAGAGGAGAATGGAGGAGAAAGGATTGCGGTGTGGCCATCCCCTCAGGGGGGTGATTTCTTGCTTTCTGTCTCTCTGTCTCTCTCTGTCTTTTTGGTCAATGCATGTGCCCTATAGCAAAAATAAACAAACAAAAAACGAAGACCTGAAGCTGTCCAAGAAATACTCAGAAAACAGGCTGAACTGCCTACACTCGCAGTGCTCCGGGGACAGGGGGCATTCTGTTTTTCTTCGTGTCCCCTGTGGCTACAAATGATGGCGTTCAGTACTGGTGGGAAGGGTAATGGTCAGAAAAGATTGAAACACCCTTCTCAAAGTTTCTATTTCTCAATGCTTCATCTATTTTCTGGAAATGGGAAAAACTAAGCCACTCATGGCTCCATTTTCAGAGGAAAGTTTTTGGGAAATATTGGGGGATATTTAATATTTCTAATTTAACATTTTTCCAGTAGATTGGTTCTAAGGCTTATATAGAAGTCTTAAAGAGCATCACTAAGCCTCCTTTAATCTATTCACCACTGAAAAATCTGACAAAATCTCAGCTTTTACAGTGGACTCCCATTCCTCTACCATGTGGCACCCCCGCTAGGTCAGTGCTACACTGCAAGGTGCTGCCCCTGGGGTTAGTCATTCTTGCCTCTTCAGCAAATTTTGACTAAGTCTTTGGTGCTTGGGGACATGGCGTTCTCCCAGCTGTGCTGGAGGTCAATCTGTTCAGGACTGTTGTGATTACCTTTTCCTGCAGGCGTTCAATAATAGCAGCTAGATTAGCTTCACGGTTTTCCTTAATTTGTTCCATTTTCAGGATCAGTTTTTCCTCCGCCATCTTGCTGAAGTTGTTGTTCTCCTCCAAAGCCTTCTGAAGGACTTCTCGCTCGTGTTCCCTCTTCTCTGCCAACTGTTTCAGCACCTGGGCCTCCTGAGACTGGGGAAGAGAAACATATTCCTGTTATAATTACCAAATGCAGACCTCACAGAATAACTGTGTGCCAATTCGAGGCAGGCTTCTTTTCAAACGAACAGCACTTCCAGCCTGGAGCCCTGTAGCTAGTTCTGTGCTCATCCGCATGGCTCAGAGCGTTCTATAGAATGTGACTGGCTGGGAAATGTAGTTAGCTGAATTTTCAGCTGTGAAATTTTTGTATAGACTATTTAGAAGAAGTAGCATTTAGCTCTCATTGAGAAATTTGTTTGGCTCTGTTTTTGTTTTAAATAAGTTTCTGCTAAGTGTTTTTGCAACAGGAAGTGCTACAATTAATCTGGATAGCAACATTTCAGTGAAGCCCAAGGAAAAGGGGTGAGGAGGAAGTTCTGGTCTTTTTCCTGCCCCGTTGCTTTTGATCAACTATAGACTGGACCTTACAATGAACTTTTTAACTTTTGCCAATTAAATTGTCTAACTCACTTTCTCCCTTTTTTTAAATACCCTCTTTGTTTTTCCTTGCCATGAGCCAAATTCTCTTTGGAGACCTGAAAATGGTGCAAATATATTGTCCCCTTGGCTCAGACAGCATAAGTCCTTGTTCTGACCCCTTTTGGACATGCCGAGGTCACCTGAGGGACTACTGAGACCTGTGATTGCTCAGTGATTAGAGCAGACATGTCAGAGCCAGGCGCAGCTCTCCCTCCTACACACTGCACTTTGCTAGTATAGGGAGTCGTGTGGCTCTGCACAGTACGTATTAGTCCCTGGGTGCTGGAGAAAGCTCAGATACCTGGTGTCTACCTTTAGTGATTCTGGTTCCAAGGTTCTTTGGTGAGACCTGGGAATCTATATTTTTGATAAGCACTTCAGGTAATTCTCATGCATGCGTCCCACAGTCTGCTATTGGCAGAGCACGCTGGAAAAGGCTTTGATGTCCAACTTGGGTTGGAGCCTTAGCGCTGTTAGTAACGCTGGACGTGTTACTCAACTTCATTCCGTGTTCATTTTCTACTCCGTGCTACGGATCGAGAAACCTTACCTCACACAGACCTATCTAATACTTCAGACTGAATTACTACACACTCATTGTTTCTGGTAATTTTAGGTATTCCTGAGGCTGATGCTTTTAGGTGAGCCTTCCTAGGAGTAATTACAAATGTGAATATCTAAACAATGATTAAATTAAAATAATTCCTGTGAAGTGACTGTTGATCACCCTTGAAAGCATGCATAGGAAAACATTTTAGTCAATGATACTGACTAGAGGGTGTTTACTGGGGAGATCGTGATATGTAAGGAATATAGGACATGAAAAGGGGAAAAAAACTTTCCTCAGATAAAATTCTACAGAAATGGTAAAATCAGCCTGTTTTACAAGTCTTTGTTGATGTGCTTATTTTGAAGTTTATTTGAAATAGGTCAATGGCTCACTGGAGATTTGACAGAAAATCCTGGGAACTGGCTCTGTTACTTGCTTTAACCCCATAATGAGTTCACTGACATTTTTACTGGGCCCACCACGTTCTTTCATTGTTTAATAGGAATTTCTCACAGGAAAACAAATAGGAAAATAATGAGGAAATAACGCAAATTGAGTTCAAAACCAAAGGGAACCAGTCTGGAAAAAATGAATAAAATGTTTTCTAGCTGGTTCATACTCCTGCCTCTAGGTGGAACTGTTGACTTTGCTTATTTTATGATCAGGACTGTTGCATTGTTAGAGAGGGGAAGGAAGATGGTGTACAGAGAGAAAGGTATGTGGGTGTTCAAATTTTCTCTCTCAGAAAAGTCTTTGTGAAATTAATTTTTGTTGTATATCACAATAGTTCTTATCTCATATTGTGGTGTGTCAGGATCAAATAAAATAGTGTTTGGAAGGTATTTAGTGCAGTGTCTAATACCAAGTAAGTTAGTACCGAACAAATGGCAGCCATTATTACTGAAAGTAAAACTGTGGATGAAATGAGAGAATTCCAAGTTATTAGTGAACAGTTAACAGAAGAATGGTCTGAGAATGGTCTGATCTGTGACTTCAAGTTTGGACCTTGGAAAAACAGCACTTTTAAACCCAGAATTGAAAATGATGACACAGAGACAGTAGCAGGGACACATCAGATGATGACAATGTATGAAGGATTTCCTAATAGCGTTAGAAATTTTAGTTTGATACATCTTGTATACAGTTTGAGGTGAATTATAAAAATGAAGAACTATAATTTATGTAGTGAAATACCCAGTAGAAAATAAATTTGGGGGGAGACTTCAATATGAACAAAACCAAGATTGTCATGTTGAGCTGTGTCGAACATTATTTCTTCATAAATGAATGTTATAGAAATGAGGAGACTTGGGTTGATCCAACATTGACTTTTCATCATCACAGCAACATTTCTCTGACTAGCAATGTGATGATAGAACAAATGACATTTTCTCATTTAATAATAAAAAATTGTGTAACGCTAAAAAAAAAATGCAAAAGTACTTATAACTAGGAGATAATATCATTGAACCCGCCAGTACAGCTAAACTCAAGGTAACATTTTGGCCATCCCATGTATGCAGAGTGTTTGTTCAAACTCTATTGATTCTGGTTAGTTAGTGGATTCAGGGGTCCTCATGGTTGACGAGAGTCGGAATCCTTTCCTAACTCTCCTATTGCCACCAGCACACGTCCACTGAATGGGGCCGTATCAATAGGAAATCTCACAGTGACATGAGCACCACAAAGAAAAAGAGGATACAACTTTGATCTTTCATTACAGAAAGTTCAGTCTGTGTAACTTCTAGGCCAGAAAACCTTCTAGAGGGAAAATTCTTGCCTATCACAAAATAAATGTGATTTGTCCAAAAATTTGGGATTGGATTGGAGCCCTAGGCAATGAACAGAGACCCGTGGGGGCAGCTTTATAAACAAAATCAGTCAAACATCAAAATAAAGCAAAATGAGTCTTTTAAAAATGATCTGATTCAAAATTCTAGTGCTCTTACATTGTT